TAAAAAAACACACGAAATTATTATGAAAGCAAAGTCTGCATGCTCTTGCTGAGCATTCAAGTCGAATTGTGGAGATATGAGGGCTTTGTAGAAACAAGAAGTGTAAAGAACTGGTAAATCTAATAAGCGAATGGCAACCCATAGCTGTACAAAAGTCTGGCAACTCTTGTTTAAGGATGCTAAGAATATCAGACTGAACTCGAAGCAGGAATAATGAATGCTGTGTGCTTCATGTGTGGACTAACTGACTCTACCTGGCTATAGGTAGATTGAGCATATTATGAGCTCTTTTTGTTGAGTTGCTCATTAATTGATGTGGGGTTAGGTTAATTATTGGTAATTAGTACGGCTAATGCAGGACTATAAAAGCGCTGAGACCCTCTAGGTGAGTGTCAGTGAAAGTTGTGGCTGACAAACGCAATGATGAAATCAATTTTATTGCTTCTAGTGGCAACTTGCTACCAAGAACTGGACGCCTTAGCTGCGTCAACAGACACAAGTAATCGGAACAGTCGAGAATACCCTACGACTGCCACAGTATACCCACATGTGCGCTGGATTGACCTGGGCAAGGTGTGGGTGCCAAATGCTATGCAATCGGGCGATCTCATCTGGGGCGCACAGACTGCAATTTTGGGCTATACCCTGGCACTGTTGGCCTTCGGTGTCGAGTGGCTTGTAAGGCGAGCTCAATTTGCATAAATTGCGCTGCTTTCACACCATGCAATTTGGCTATGTAAATCACTTTTTATCAGACCATTACAATCTGGCGCTATAAAAACTTCAGTTTCGCTGTGAGAAAGTGCAGTTCCTTGGAGAATGTGCGATAAGCTGGCAGCCGGTGCAGTTCTACTTAGGAGGTACTCTAGTCAAATGTGAATGTGTGAGCAAAATTTAATTTAAGAAATAAAAATGTTTCTTGTGGAAATTCAAATCACTGTGCTTTGTCTATTGTTGAGTTAGGTGAGCTCAGACCAAAAGGATTTTCTTGCCAATAATCTGCTAATACGAGGCTCAAAATCTAATATCATAGAACCCAGAAAGAGGTTTATTAAAGGTGTTTGCAAATGCAATAATAGGGATTTTCTAGTACCAGAGTGTAATTAAGCCCGTTATGAAAGCTATTACAACAGTTATTACATGCATTATGTATCTATCATTGAGCACAGCTCATGCTTTACTTAATCACACAGCCTGACAACTGTTAACTTGGTAGATAAACACAGGCACAGTCTAATAAATGTTACTTCGGCAGTGTTAGCCAAATGCTTTTACTTCTCTCAAAGGCTCTGTTATTCAAGTTTCAAAGTTTCAAGCTGTAGAAAACATTCTACTGTTTGATGAGCACTCAACAATTATTATTTCGATTTGTAAATGCAGATTTACAGGAAGACACTTCTTATTCATACTATAATATATAATATTGCATTTAAGTAATAAATTAAATATTAAATACAGATCTGTCCAATCTGAAAGCATGTGTTGTTAACAGCTAGCCACATCTAATATTTAACATTTTCAAAAATTGAAAATTTTTACTCTATTGCTGCTAAGTTCCCTAAGCATTACTTTCAGCAACTGCTCTAATTGAATACGATTCATATTAGCTATTTGCTCAGCATAAGACTCAAGTTTTCTCATCAGAAATAGAGCCGTGAGCTTTTGTTAAAAATTTGCGCGTGGCATTGTGAAATTAGGAATCATATCATTTATATATGATTACTCAGATAAGAGCTCTAGAATAGATATGGAGCTCTGGATCGTGCCTCCAAGTGCTATGAATCATGTATATTATGTTCCACACACGAGTATATGCAGATGCGAATTTTTGATAGGATTTTTATCAAAATGAAGCACTTTAAAATTTCCCAGAATTTCCATATTATTACACCTGTTATCAGACAGCTAATTGATAGTCTGACAGTCCGACAGTTTGACTGTTTGACTGACTGTCTGTATTAATAGCGCTGACTCATTGTTGAGCTCTTGGCCCAGCTAGAATTGTGGTGCAATCCAGAAGTCTTTGCTCAGCTCTATTAAAAGTGCTGCTAATTTAACCCCTGATTGCCCATTTATTTGTTCAATTGTGTACCTAAAGCACACATAATATTAACCCCTTGGCATTAATAATAGACCTCCTTGCATTAGCTTTATTAAAAACGAAGCTTCGGCTATTTGTTATGCGTTGTGCTTCAGGCTGGAATCAATTCAATTCGATATCAAAAAGACACTCGACCGCACTCGGATTTATTGTAGCTGCATAGCTGTGACTAACGATTTGGCAAAAGTTTTCAATAAATTTGTTATTTATGAAATAATTTATCTCTGTCGCATGGCAAAAAGTGATTTTGTATTTTATAGCTGTGCGCCAATTCTCTAAATGTGCATTTAGTAAGTCATAAAAAGTCTTAAATTACATATAAAGTGTAAATCGCCAACGGATCATAAACTAGCACTGATCGGGTAAAACTTGTTTATACCATATTATAAATTAAATAATATATTTTTCTCCCTAACTTAGGTTATTATTTTATTTATGAGTTAATTAGTTGCTTCTCAGAAAGTATACAACTCGCCACTTAAAATAAACTTATAAATTATTGACTTTTGTCTATATATATATATTTATATATATATTAAGAAACACATTTCCTTAACACAGAATTTAATAACTGAGTTGAAGCTAAAAAAACATTTATAAAATGTCTTAGATCTGATTAGTTAAATACATCTTGTATATCAAAGATGTGCTTTGAATATGTTAAAGATATAAAATTATAAATATATATTTAATGTATATGTATATATATATATATATATATGGACTGACTGATCTGAGTGAGCCAGCACAATTATCTTTTCGGAGTCTAAGAAATTTTAGGTCAGTTTATACCAAAAACCCAAAAAACTTTCGATTTCTGCTTCAATTTATATAGTTTGAATAACGAATTCATAAATCAACATTTTTTTTTAATTGTATATATTCAGATATAATTGAAATTAAAATATTTAAAATAGCATTAGCTTTACCTTTTCATATAGTAATAATACACTAAATGTGATTTCATTGCTCAAACGTAGCAAAAATATTTACATATTCATCTGCGCACAATAAATTGCTTTGCGCTTAATTAAGTTTGCGAATTTCGTCTATTTTTGGCCGGCACTTGACTTATAGCTGGTCTGCTCCTCCGTCCTCGCCTTAAAAACGGTGAAAGGCATTTTTACAATTGACCAATTTGAACTGAAGAGGCTCAAACAGTTCTCACACACTCAGCCCCAATGTGCCCCAGGCGCAGCAAACACTTCGAGTACGCTCAAAACACTCGAAAGCGTTGAATAATTCAAATGCCTTGAAGAAGAGGAATAAGAAGAGAAGCCTTTGGCTAGCGCATACCGGAATGTATATATATATATATATATATATATATAAAGATAATTTGCGAAAAGTTCATTTAGAACAAACAAATTGAAGTGAAGAGTTGGAAAGACTCCACGCATGGTTTATCAAATAAGAAAATAAAGAAAAAAGAACAGAATGACAAATATTGTAGATTCATAAAACGGAATTTGTTAAGACGTCGCCAAGTTGTATCATGCCCAAGGAATTTCAGACATCTCAGTTATTTATTTCGGCACATTAACAGCGGAGACAGCCCCAGACACAAGCCAAGCACTCACGCCTCGGGGGGCGCACTTGAAATTGATTGTAAAATAAATTAAAATAAAAAACAAAAAAAAGGTAAATACATTCATATGTGAAATTAATATGTAAAGAGCTTTCGCACAAACAGTATAATTTAATTAGCAAACTGTTGTTGGCTTTTAATAATTATTTACCTCAAATTTCCGCTGTACTTGTATTCATTCTTTATTATACCCTGTTTAAGTGAATGGAATGCAGTCTGAATGACTCCATTTACTCAGTCAGCTTCTTGACCTCGGAAACTGTTTGTGCCAGAGATTGATCGAAGCCAAAGAAAGCCACAGGAGCTAAGAGACCTCAAGCCAAATCTGGCTAGCTTCTGCCTTTTGGCACATCGAACCTAAGTTCAAAGGAACAAGTGCTATGCTTTGGAGGGGCTCAACCCATATGCAGTCAGACACTATATATAGATATGGAGATGCAGTTGTGATGAAGGTCTAGTAAATAGCATGAGATATAGAACTTTCAGCTTTTACTTACAAGCCAATCTACTTTATCACTAAGCAGCTGTGCTTACAGGGTATTTGCGGGAGCCTGTACCTCTTTCGTATGCTTCACTTTATTATGATTGATAAATTTGGCAAATATTTGATGTTGGCCAGTGCAAGTGTCAATACATATCACTAGACTATTGTATTTTCATTTCCATTGATATTTTTTAGGGCAATGTCAATCGAATCCGATAAAATACTTGGCATAACTTTGATGGGTTATCATCAACAGCTGGCGCTGGGGCGGTGCTGGGGTTGGGGTTGGGGCTTGTTTTCTTCCAACTAAATTGTTTACGGTGACATAACTTGCCAGCTTTTTAAATACGTTGGAATGTTAAGTAGATGAGTATGAAATATTACATTCTTCAAATAATATGCGATAATATCAATAAACAAAAGAACACATATACTACATGTGTGTATGAATTACACAAGCAAAAACAATGTAACGAATCGTAGAGGCACTTCATTTGATAAAATTACACACGAGTAGAAAACATGTGTTTCCCTGTGTATATTTATACTTGTTTACCAAGTGGAACGAGTCTGTTGGCTCGTTCGTCGTCTCCCTAGTTGTGTGATCCCTTGTCTGATTAAGATTCTTATCATACGTTAACTGCAGACTTCGAAAATCAAATGCTGTTCAACTATTAAAGTTTGGCAACCTTTTTAAATTCATCAAAACTTTTCGCAAAGTCCTTTCAGATGGACATTTAGATTTTCGCATCTTTCATTTACTTGGCTTTTCACAATTTATTCAGCTTATGATTTATTATTTCAGGAGTTGGTATTTAGCTACTCACCATCAGGAGGTAAATAATCTTGGCATAGACCGTAAACTGTGGTAACCTGAAAGCAAACGACAAGCTTAATAAGTGTTTACTATAGAATTATATATAAATGAGTTAAATGTTAAATATAGTTTTTTAGCAAATGTATTTCCCCGGCGGCCGTGTGATTTAGATGCCACTTGACAATTTGCTATTACAAGCTTATTTAATGAAACTATGAAAAAACGTTACGTTTGGCTAGAACAGCCTGTAAGCATTTGAAATTTATGCTACCTTTTCAATTAGCGTTATTTTTGTTGTTTTTTTCAGATAGAGTTTTTGGCGGTTTTTCCCCCAGGCTCCACCTCTGACGCCTTCTTGGGTAAGTTGAGCTCATAATGTAAGCAGCTGGCTCTAACGCCCACACATTTGACAAGATATTAGAGCACGTAAGCGCACTTTTTGCTAACTATAAGTCAGCTGCTGTGACAGACTGTTTGACGTTTATTAAATGGCTCGAAAGGAGTGCAAGTCGCCCGATAAATTCTAGACAATAAATTCACTGGAGTTTATTATGCAATTAGTTCAAATGCTGCCACAGCAGCAGCGTATAAATATCAGACTGGCCAACAAAAGGCAGTGCACAAGGAGTCCAATGTAACTGGCCAGTGTCGGCTGCTGCTCCTGTCAGCGGAAACCAAAGCGTTACAGCAGGGCTAAGGAATGTTGTAAAAGCTGCAAAATGCTGTCTGCCCCAAGGCTCGACAGACACATTTTCAAATGGCTTGCGGCAAGACCTTCAGATTCTTATGTAATCAGGCAGCGCATGGCCAAGCATTGGCAAGACGTGCCTACAGTTACAATACTTGTTTAGTTTAATATTTAAAAATAATAATTCATTATAGAATAAGCTATTTGAAGCCACACTGGCAACATTTCCTCTGCCGTTTAAGCCCACATTGAACCCACATTCAACTGAAACTTAAAATGTATTTTAGATATTTTATCTGGCAACTTGTGTCAATGCAGATATTATTTCTACAAGACCTTCTGACCTTACGGCTTATATATTAAATTTTGAAACTTACTTTCAGGTCATGACTTAGCTAAGTGTTCATAGGAACCTTGGTCAGTGAAAACTTGTTAGCCCTACCCACATGGCAACCACTGGCACACTTGGCCAGTAGGCCAAGAGTCCAGTTAATGAAGTGAGGCTGCATTGGCTTTGCTTTTTAGACAACTTTAATATAACTGCATTTGCAAAACGATAGAGGAGACCAGGCTGCGCTGCTTGGCCTTGGTATTGCCATTGGCATTATTTTTGCCATAGTAGTTTATATCGTGTAGACGATAGTGGCCAGGTCGCAGATACACGGGAATGCTCTTGTCCTCCAGATGAAAGTTGCGCAAATCATAGTAGCCCTGGAATATGAATACTTTTAATTCTGCTCGCCATTCTCCACGTGGAGCCACCTACAGCTTTCATGGGACAGATGGCTGAGAGGTTGCCGTACTTGCGTACATTGCGAATCCAGACGCCGGGCAAGCTGCTCTTTGCCTGATCCTTGAGTAACTTACAAGTGTCTACGTCATAGTTGAATAGAGTGTAATAGTTCAGAGAGTTCTCGATCTGGAACTGCACAGTGATAGCCGTGCGCAAGGTCGCCGGTAGAGTTCGATTTACATACACATCAGTATTTAGATATCCTTCGGCCGTAAGCCAACTCTTCATTCCCATATAGTAGTCGGTGTTGTACTCGTAGCTAACGTTTGTGAATTTGCTACGCAACGACATGGCTTGAAGAGTGAAATACGATTGGGTGTATTATGTGTAGAAACTATTCATTTCCACTTACTCAGAGCTGCCTGCAACTGAGTTGTTGCCACCAGCAGAACGTGAACCAAGAGCAGATGCATGACTTTCTGGCTGCCGTTTCAAAGAATCAATAAAAGCATATTGTACTAACTGGCAAATGAGTACGGCTCGTAATGAGCTAATAATGGGAAGTCAGCTTAATATTAGATTAACTAGAATCTTGATCAGTGATTAGTTTGTTTTTATACTACCGGAAGCAATGAGGCAACGCAGATGTTTTCAGTGGCTTGGAATGAAGTTATTATAATGAAATTTCATACTCAAAGAGCACTTCAAACTGCTTGCTCAAAGTTGTATTTGATACAATTTTCGTATTGGCTTAGCTGGATAGCTTAGGATCTGAAGTTTGGTAAACAAATTTTAGAAGCGGTTTCAATCATACTTAAACCAGTTTCAAATACAAAACTCGACACGAAATCAGCTTAAAAAAGTTTGTAAATACTTCGCCAAATAACATGGACAACAGTTTGCAAAAAACGTTTGCAGCCAACGGCATTTTCGCGCCGTTGTCAAGTCGATTGAACCAATCAATTGATCAAGTGTGAGTCTAGCAATCAATCAAATGCTTTCAATCAGGCTATCAACAGCTTCAAATTGATTGACAACTTGTTGACAGTTGAATAAACGAATTGAGCTGCTGCCAGTTGAAGTTTTCTGTGCTGCTGAGCAGGTGTTTGTGTGCGAGTGTTCGCGTGTGTGTGTGTGTGAGTGTGCGTGGACCCCCCACACTGAGTTAAAGCGCCTGCCACATAAACATTCAAGTTCAATTTCTTTGGCTCTTTGGCGGAGTCAACTGCAGCTGACAAGCTAACCGTAAAGCAAACTGAAAGTTGTTGCATCTAACAGATGCAACTGACGTTGATGTTGCTGATGTTGCTGTTGTTGCTGATGTTGCTGGGGCTGTCATTGTCGTTGTTTGTCAAAGCGGCGTTTAATTGGAAACACAGTTGGGTGTTGGTTTTGACCGGTCTCTGGCTCCGGCTGCGGCTGCGGCTGCGTCTGCGGCTGCTGTCTTCATCAAGCACAACGGCAAACTGTGAAGCGCGGACAGCTGATGGATGCGGACATTTCGATTCATTCTCGAGGCCAAGCCAGCGCAAACTGGACGACGTCCGAAACTTGTTTCACAAATAATTAAATGCAATATTACGCATACGCCACGGCTTACAGCCGACTTAAAAAGAAATGCTCAGCCGTTTGTTACCGCTTTTTTTTTCTTCTCGTTTTTTGACTGTTGATTGCTCCAACTGAATTCAGAGCTTGCAGTTTAATTGCAAATTATTCAAATGCCCCACAGACGGCGGCAAGTCGAGCTTTGCAGCTGCCGTTGCCGCCTGCTGCTGTCATAACCAGTCGCCCCTCTGCCACGCCCCGACCCCTCCCCCGACTCAATTGTCGCTTTGCAATTATGTCTGAAATTAACAACAGCGCCCGCAACCGCCGACCTAAAAAGCAAAAAAATAATATCATATATATATGTACATATACATATGTGCATATGTGTATGTATGTGTATGTGTATATATGTATACACACTACATGCAGCATGCGAAATGTGTAAAAATATTTCAGTGTATTTTTTTTCGATTGTTGTCAAATGAAATTAGGCGTGAAATGTAGTTTGAACTTTGGCTAAAATATTATAACAATCGCAACCAATATATATATATATATATATATATATATATATATATTTGTATATAGATATATATATTTTTATATGTGTGTATATAGATGTACGTATATAATTATATATAAAGAGCTGTGAGTGATTTGCCTAGGCGCCACATGCATTTGCTTTTATCGCTAAACAATATTTATCGGTTCTGTTTTTATATTCGTTCACGCACTGCAACGAGTATATTAGTTTGATGTCAAAGTCCGGCTTGCTCTAGGTGCATGAACGTAGGGCAATTATTCGCTATTTAAGCTTGAAACTTGGCTACCCTCGTTCGATAAAGTGTTAAGGGTTTTCCCTCTTGGTACGCGACAAATAAGCAGATCTATTCTTGTAACTTATGAACGATATTCTATTCGGCTTATATAATTGTAAGGTAATTGCCATTTAGTAACCGGCTAAAAACCTGTTGTTGACATGTGAATTATTTTGTGGCGTGGAAAGTTTGAACAAACTATCCCTTCCACAATTTACAATATAAATCTTCGAAATATGCCCGAAAAATACAGATTTTTAAGAAATGCAATACCTTCAGGTCTTATGCACTAGTTAATTTCATTATTGTTTCGTATTAACTTTGCTATTGCATTACTCAGATCATAAAAGACATATCGATGGGCAGCGCGTGTTTGTTACCAGCCGCATTCAGTCTGCGATATCAATGTTGATATTCTTCAGTTAATGAAACGACAATGCACTTGGTATTATCTCAACTGGCTGCAGCAACACGCCATTCCACATACCCTGTAAGTTGTATGCTTCGGGTATGTGAACGACTAGCTGGCAGAATATTGCTTTGCTTTAAGTATAATAAATAATTTAAATTTAAGATAAAAAATACTAATTTAATTTGTAGTTATCATATGAAAAATTACATTCGCATTTCGTTTAATTGAGAACTGACAGAGAAAGTTGATTTTTGTTTGAATACTTTTGCTACAGTTCTCAGGTTCACAGTTCTTTTTTGTTTCTTTTAAATGAATTCAAAGTGCCGACGCAAGATTATATAAAGGTATTAAAACTATGGGTAAGCGTTTGCTTTGTATTTTACTTCTGTAAGCTAGGAGCTTGTGTCCGGCATGCCACGATTGCGTCTAGAAGCTTAGCATTCAGCTAATTTAAACGAAAGTTCCGGTTAGACAAAAGAACTTTTTACTGGCATTGTAGCCGTGAAGGCGCTAAAGGGTATCTCTGAGTCGACCATTCGGAACAAGTGTTATTTAGTGCTTATTTTATATGGTTAATGCAGTTGTGATGAACGAACTGGGCACAGCAGAAGCCCAGCACGTTAACATGGCCAATGTGCAGCAGTTGCTGTTGTTGCCGGAGCTGTGGCTGTGGCTGTTGTTGGCCGCATCTTAAGTTGCATTTATATGCAAATAACTTAAATTGTTTTCAATTTGCCTTGGCTGCCACATTCCTTGAGCCGAGTTGCAGCTAATTTTATGGCTAATTGTCAGCTCGCCTGTTTGCTGGTGCTCCTGCTGCTGCTGCTGCTGTTGGTCGATTGTTGATTGCTGATGAAGTTGTGATATTTGCGATAAAAAATGTATGTGATAAAAATTATAAAGCGTCGATAGTTATAGCCAAGAATTTCTTAATTGCCAATAGCCATAGGAAGCCAAGCAGCTAGGCAGCTTGACAGTCAAACAGGCGGTCGAAGCCAATCAATTGGCTAAAACCTTTGTGAAAACAAAATCAAACAGCACAACGTACAAAGTCAAACAAAAATGCTTCGCCTAGTTGACTTACTTTCTGACCACAAGACTCGAGTTTTGACCTACAAAATTTAATTTCTTAGACATTTAAAGAGCCTTGACGAATTTCCACGATTGCCCCTCTATTCCATTGAAATGTGTTCTTACATAAAATATCAATTTTCAATTTCCTCGACAGAGTCGGAAATGAATCAAGCTAATGGCGCTGCGGAAACTTATTTCGAGCTTGCCTTCTGCTTCGATTTGCCATTTATGTGAGTGTCTCAATGCGACAGACGAAATACATATTTTCAGAATTATTCAAGTGTGTAACAAACAAACCCTAAATAATACACAAGCTGCAGATGGGTACATACAAATGAGATCGAAAATATACTCAAATAAATCAGGACTTTGAATAAAAGAAGTTTAAAAACTTGAATAAATAAATATATATATAAATAAAAGAAAATTTTATATAAATAAAATTGTTTAAACAATATAATTTATTTTTAAAAAAATTGACAACTAACTCCTTTATTTAAATTAATAATATACAATAAAATATATAAACGAAATAAAAAAATTCGTTTTGTCAAAATTTAAAACTAAAACTCTTTTTTCAAATTTCAGAAATTGTTTAGTTTAATTTTATTTTTTTTTGTGTTTGTAAAATGAAAAAAATATATAATTAGCTGAGATTATGATAGACTTTAAATTTGAAATAAAGATTGACTTAGAAATCTGGCCTTGAATTGTATTGAAAAAATATGCGATTCGAAGCAAACTTCGATAGATAACTAAATACAAAGATTAACTAAAAGAAAATAAATTAATTGACAACCTCGATGAGCTTTTATTCTAAGGTTCTTTTTAAATATTAAAAGGCATATTTAATTAATGTAAATACTCATACTTAAAGACTCATGTAAGTCTGTATTTAGTCGCCTCCAGCTGCTGCTTTCAGAATTGCATACGAATGAAGTGCTGAACCGGTTGGGCCAACATATTCCTTCAAACAGCGGACAATCTGTCGTCTCGATTTAGCCACAACTCACAATTGACAACTTCTATGCAATTGATATTCATACACGTCCGTAAAGTTGTCATTATGTCAGCGGGGCTGAGCAATCTACTAAACTAAAGCAATGTTATAATCAGATAACCGCGCACAATATCAACACTGCCACACTTTGTAATTGTAATTGTAATTGCAATTACAATTACAATTACATTTACAAAGTTGTTGTTGGCTCATAAAAATAGCAATCACATTTGCATTACATGATTTTTGTTCTCTTACCCATTTCCATTCCCATTCCCATTCCCGCTCCTCATTTAGTTACTGTCAATGCAAATTGATATAGCACAATCGATTCATACTGCGCACTTTCGATTCGTAATGCCCACTAGTCTACGACTTGAAACTGAACCCTGGGTGTGCTCTGCCCTCGGACCTATCAGCGTCGTAGGGCCATCGGGCGGATATTTATTAGACTCTATGAGCTGCGGGGCTATGGACAAACGTGTGAGCCTCATGATATATGGATAAACACGTAACGAGTAGCTAAAAATAATACGATTATAGCAACTTTGAGCTGTCAAGTGGTTTTTGGTGACATCTGAGTAGTAACGTAATTAATCAATCCGCTTCAAGTATTGAGTT